AGGAGCACCTTCATATGTCTCTGTCCCCCATTTAATTCAAATGCCTTCCTTCCATGCACTATACGACGGTTGTTAAAGACAGCACACTGGCCACGTTTCAACCTTAGTTCTTTCTGTAAAAAGAGAATAATACATTGTTTAAAGGTGAGTGTAAAGTATATAAGAGTGAGTGTGAAGTGAAATATCGACACGCAAGTGTAAAGTATAGACAGAAAGTATAAAGTAAGGACAGGTTTAATGTAGTTAGTACAAAGTATAGACATGTCAGCATAAAGTAGTAAGTATAGTATAGTATAGTGAGTATAGAAAGGTGAGTATAATGTATTGAAAGGTGAGTATAAGTATAGGCAGGTGTGTGTAAAGTATAGACATGCTTTATGTAAAATATGTATAGATGAGAATAAAGGACAGGTTGTAAAGTGTGAACAAATGAGTGTAGAGTATGGGCAGGTGAGTTACAATATGGAACGGTGAGTGCAAATTATGTGAATCATGAATAGGTATGTTAATTATGAGAAAGTGAAAAGAAAGAAAGTATAGATAGATAAAGTATAGAATAAAAAACCGACAAAATACTGACCTTTGCATCAGAATATTTCAAAAGTTGGGCTAATCTTCTGTAAGCACGGTAATATGGTTCAACATCTTCCTGTTAAAATTATGCAAGGTACAACAGATATGAATGGGATCATTACTGTATGTTCAATTATATTTATAAAGGCAGCTCTATTTCATCTAAATTGTTACAGATCCAAAAAAACACATTTTTAGATTCATGCTAGCTGTCTAATAGCCAGGCTTCACTGCACCTGACACGACTCTATTGAGAACGCAATGCCACAACATACGCGAAACAGATCACTATAAGTTATATACCATTTACAATACTCATACGCGGTACAATAGATATAAATGGGATCATTATGTTTAATTATATTTATAAAAAAGACTATTTCCTCTAAATTTGTAGTTCCAAAACACATTTTTAAGTCAAGGCTATAAAGCCAGGCACTCATAGCAACCGATGGTCGTCGACTCCATGAACAACGCAATGCCACAACATCCACGCAACGGATTGCTTTTAATGACGATCCGTTCACACTGCCACCGACAGTCTACCCTCGCAGGGAGCAGAGTTGAATTAGTCATACGGTACGGTTGTATGACACAGTGAGTACCCAGTTTGAGAAATCACGACCAGCTGTCAAGTGACATGGGTGACTTACAATGTGCACACTTGAAGGGTCTGCGAAAGCCTGCACCAGGTAAAGTAAACACTACTTTGGTACTGTTTTTTTTTTCTTTTAATATATTGTTTGTGTACCTTCTGAACTTACTTCTCTAACATGCAATATTCCTTCGAATGGAGGGGACCAGGTTACCGCAGTTATCTGAAAGAAAGGCACCTTCAGAGATTAGTTCAGTTCATCATTTACAAGATAGAATACACACTGTGATATCAACTAAATTTTGACCGAGACAAGGTTCAAATTTGTTTTTGGTCAAACTTTGCTTCAAGTTCCGAATTTGTTATGTGGTTAGAACAATTAACAATTTTCCTACTAGCTTAAAAAGAGTTTCTATGTGCTTACTACAAGTTGCTATGAATTACCTTGAGTTTTCTGATCTTACTACACTTTTACATTTAATGCCTAGCTCAGGATACTAGTACCAATTAGTATTGTTACATTCTTGTGAGTTCATAGTACATTGTAAAACTTGTATAAAACTTGAAAGGCTCGTAATAAACTCCCAGTTTTCTCAAGAAAATTCATAATTCGCTCAGAATAATTTGTACTTTATAAATCATCATGACTCGTTTCTGACTCGTAGGAAACTTGTAAAACAACTTGTATCAATGGCAGATCCAGGAATTCTAAATAGAGGGGGCCCAAGAAGGGACTTTCACAGATGGAGGGTCTAGATAAGATCAACTTAGCCCCACCATGGTTGGGGCTGATGTAAGAAATTTCTATGATTATGGCACACATAGATGGCTGAAAATGGCAAGCTCGGACTTTGAATAACATTTTCTTTTTTTTTTCTCCTTTTTCTTTAGACTGCCCCCTAGAATCTGCCACTGTGTATGGCACTTTTACCATTTAGACCACAAGTTTCACAAATTCTGAGCTCGTAGCAACTCTTGGGCGGAAGCAACGAAGGTGGGAGAGCTGCAGAAATCTTTAACCCCAAAGATCAAAGCATTCAAAAGCATCTACTTACATGTCTGGTTACTGGATGGACATTGATATGGGGCCTTTGGTATTGAAATGCTGCAGGATTCTCCCTAAAAAATAAACACAAAATAACATTATAATAATATAAACATCAGAAAATTATATTCAAAATAATATGACAAATGTTGTTATATGTGAAGTATACATATGAAAAATTATTGGAAAAAAGAACAGACACAACAGGAAGAAGATTGAGAAGATGTCAAAATGTGTGCTACTTGTAGGCCTGACCTGCATACCACGTAAAGAATTGTAAAACTAGAATATGTCTTAATCCTTGTATGCTAATCTAGCTTAGTGAAAATGGCTATCAGTGAAAAATCATGACATTTACAATTTTACTAATAATTAATTCACAATATCATTTAACCTAAATATATCACCAGTTGCCATATTTTTAAGTAAGCATAAACCCCATCCACCAAATAACTCATAGTTTCTATAGTTTAATTTAATTACTTAAATACCAATAAAGAAATTAATAAGCCTACACTGCATTGTTCAAATAGTCTTCCCTTTTTGAAATTTCCACCGGGAAAAAATCTACAACTTGGAAAAGAGCAACATGGTACAGTTTCCGAATTTATATAATTAAAAGTGATATCCAATTTTGTCAGTCTAAGCTGGGGAGGGGGTATACTCTATCTACTACTAGTTGTATTGGAATGAATTTTAATTTGGAGAAGCAGCAATGATGACTAGTTTACCTTTTAAAGTGTATCTTCTGGAAGGTTGCAGGCACAGTGCACAAGGTTTCAAACTCAACAGGAAATCTATTGCGCAGTTCCTCAACGACATAAAATATATCAAGGAAAAAACTCTCACCACCAACTACTTTGTCATCAAATCTAAAGAAACAAATGTAATCATTATCAAAGAGAGAATTCAACATGGTACATTGATAATTTTTTTTTATTTTGCTTTTTGATGAGCACACAGGGACTTGAAGGACAGGGATTTGAAGGGCAATTAAAGCTGTTCACTCACAGCGCCTAGAGGGTCGTCAGCTGCCACGATTGTATGAAGAACGCAACGCAATGATGCACACACAACGCATCATTTTTAATGATGATCCATTCAGGCTGCCGCTGATAATCAGTAGATGGCGCCGCGTCGTCTAGCGCTCACAGGAAGCAGAGTTGGATTCATCATGCGACGGTCGCACGACCGTCGTACAATGCAGTCAGTGCCCGTCTATGGTCTGTCTGAGGGAGAAGGGTTGCAAGCGTTCTCTTAGGAACTTCCAGCTTGGTTAGAGGCTGTTTGGCTGCTACCAAGGCAAGTGGGCTGTTAAGCTCCACTTTCAGAACCCTCTGTATCTGCAACTGGGGAAAGTCTTTTTATTTACAAAGTAGATTAGCGCCAAAGTGCGTCAAAGAATTCAGATACGTCATCAGATGCATAGATGACTGTGTTATCATTAATGCAATCAAAGCTACTGTAATCTTACCTTACACAATGAAGAAGCTGAATTCCGGGTGCAGACTCGTAGTACGCAAGGTCCATATGATATTCAATCCCCATTGAACTATACGCAATATTTATTGGACGCTCTTCAGTCTTGACATCAAACCTCTGCTGATTTAGCATATGTATCCACAAATCAAATGTATTATATCAATAGTTAATAGCACTGTACACTAACAAACGCTTTCAATGGCTACTGGTGCGTGGACTTCACCACAAACCTTTTATGATCTACTAACCTACTCAACACTGAATTAATTAATCAGAAGAACTTAATGATCATTCACACAAACTTATATGCCTATGGTCCTAGCACTTGCCAAAAATCGAACTCCAAATAATCAGCAAAAACCAGCAAAATACTGGTTTGATTATTATGCAAGTACAATATGGGTACCAAACTGTATTGAAAGTATGAAGCAAAAAAAAATTAGGGCAAAAAAATCAATTGGGAAACACACAACCATTCAAATATTGGTTTCAAATGTGGCAAAGACAAGCCAAACCAGTCACTTGTCACAAATTGTGTTTCAGAAATAATGGCCAAAACATGTTGGAATGTCTAAATTTTTAAATATATTTTATTGCACTAAACTAAACTTGATATATCTATACATCATGCTAGGTTGTTATTTTCCCAATTTTCAATGTTTAAACAATATTTCTTAACAATTTGGTAATGGTTTCTGACCTAGAAATGCCCGAAATCGTAAACTTTTAAGGCTGATTTCTTAACTACTGTGCTTTAAACAGCTGTTTGTTTAAACTCTTGTAACTTTATGAGTCTTTGACCATTTTATAGATTTTATTGTTTAACCCAGAATTATTAACTACAAAATCATCTTTTGTTGTTGAGAGGAGTGTCTGGTTTAGCTTGCCACAAATGCAAATAATTACAATATCAAATAATAAAAATTTTGGCTAAAAGCATGTCTATGCCACCTGAAGAAGCCACAATACAAAAGTAGTGTGAAGACTTGCATAAATAAAATATTTAACTTACACTACCATAAAGAGTGCTTTGAATTGGGCCAAGTCTTTCTGCAATCTACAGATGTATATCAAAAAATGAGGAAAAATCGTGTAAGAATCAAATAGCTGATAAAAAAAAAAAAATATTGGTTTTTGTACATGCAAGGCATTGTAAGTCTCTCAAGGCACAAGATCCTAAAATGTATAGTATTAATTTTAAATGGAAGTGTCCCCCCACCCACCTTCCCACCTTATTTTGGTTGCTAATCCCATATTATAATAATAATAGTGTGGTTTTATATAGCGCACATATCCATCTAGTGTAAGATGCTCAGGGCGCTTGATGTGTGGACTAGGAACTCGATCAATGACTTTCTTCGCCCCTAATGGTCCCTTCGTGTCTGTGCTACCCGGTAACCCGTTACCAGCAACTCTCGTCGTCCACCACAGGGGCTGTCAGTTCCAGTACACCGGGTATCCCCCTACTTGTCTCGAAGGATGTACGGGGTTCTTTATAGTTCACACGAGCCATTGTATACACTGGGCCTACGGTTTATAGTCCTTATCCGAGAAGACCAGAACCATAGGCGAGCGTTCGAACCAGCATCGATATTATGGCTATAACTTGCGGCGCCCCTGCTAACCGCTCGGCCATTCGACTCACTGGCCTAACAGCACAATTTTTGGGCCATACTGAAGCCAAAACAACTCTCCCTATTAACCCTGCCAGGAATTTTTATTCTGGGACTCTGAATGAAGCTCTAGTCGGCCCTTGGTTCAGACTCCCTGTCAGGCTTGTCACATCCCTGTCGGCAAATTTCTAAACTAATCTAACAATTGTTTTAAAATGTACTAAATGATGAGATGAAGCAGAGAGTGAAGATTTTCTTTCCACGACTATCTACAGGGGTGCAATAAAAATGTTAAAGGATAATAGAAAGCATACCTCTATAACTTTATGTTCGTCATTTTCAGTTGGAATTCGATCAATAATGCAAACACCATATTCATTTAAATATTTGAGGTATCTGTAATTAAAACTTGGGCATTATAATCACCATGAAAACAATACCTATTAATTCAAATTCATTTTGGTACAGAAAATTTATGAAAATAACTTTTGTGTTTTCAGTACATTTTGATGGTAAATAATTAGGTTTTAAAATCCCTATTCCAGAAAGCCTATTCTAAACCATTAGGATTACGAAGTCATTCATTCGTAATGAACGGTAACCAACGTCTGGTTGACAACAAAGTGCGCCACCTGTTGTTGTGACGACACAACTGTTCTACTCTATTACTGGCAAACCCAATCTGGGAATATGGCATTTCTTCTGGCAGTAGAGGGGCGGTATACACATCTATTTTACCATCACAGAGTTCTCCGACAGCTCTTAGCTCCTTATACAGCTCTTCTTTTCTACAATACTTTTTAAAATCCCTCTAGTAATTTAAACTGTGCATGTGTATGTCAAAGATCAAGATGCATATAAAGAGGATGAACATTAAGCAAATTCATGTCATTATGCTGTGATAGTTACAAATACAATTCAAGTTATTTTCATTTTATAAAGTACTAAAAGAAAAACAGTTCCACAAGCCAATCAGAGCATAAAAGTAATCAAAGCCAATTTATCACACAATTATAATATCAATAAAAATAATGCCAAACATATATTTTAATTACATCAACCAAACAGCATACAAATTAAAGAATCAGAAATAATAAATTACTCATAAAAAAATACAACCGTAGAATATGAATCTTTTCAAGCTGAAAGATTTAAATCAATATTACCATAATATTATGTACCATTACATATGTAGGTATATGTATATGTTTGTATACTTGGTACTGTATATGTTTATGCATATGTACAATATATGCATATATGTACATATGTATCCATATCAACTATTATTTTCATGCTTACTTTTCTATATTTATCTCACTACAGTAGGTTATGTTAAGATACAATTTGTATTTGTTAAGATGTTCGTACGACGCACCACATGTGGAGTGCCACTGATATAAATGGTGTATGTCATTAAATTATTATTATTATTATTATTATTATTACTATTATTATTATTATTATTATTAATAAAATATTATAAAATATACTAAATTAAAATTATTAAAGTTGTATGTGTAAAGGATAGCACCAGCTACACACATAATGACAGTGTAAATATAAGACACATTACAGTGTGTCAGTAAAAAGAAATATGTTTGTGATTAAAAGAAAAGCAAGGCTGTGGATTCCTATGTGTAAGTATTGGCATGATGACGATGATGATAAATCAAGATATGATCATTACAACTTATCTAATTTTGTCTTGGACAAAAAATATTTTGTTTAAAATCACAGACAATCCACAGACATAATGTCAATATCTAGACAATTACAATTTAAACTACGACATTTATTAAAAAGAAAGCGCAAAAATACCTGAGAAATGTCTTTTTACAGGAGGAGACTTGTTCATAATCAAAATAGTCTATATCCCCCTGAAATTTATGAATAAAATAATCAAAACAAATGGTGATGAATCCAAGGAACTTGAGTTTCTGAGTGCTTTAAAGGGCCCACATGCACTAAGATAGTGACCAAGTTCACTGTAAATGCAATTATGTATGTGTCAGAATCTCAGATGTTCACTGTATGGCAACCTTTGATATGAACTTTGTAACTGTGCTTGCTTTGTGTTGTTTATTATAAGGAAGTACCACTTTGATAACTATACCTATACATCGCTACATAATGGAACTATGCGATATCACTCTATTTTCAAGATTCTACCAAATTAATATATTAGAACCTAATAATTTTGGATTATAAACTTAATAAAAACATGAAATTTTGTGTAAATTTGTAATCCTATGTATATATTTTAACACACAAATAAGGATACAATTTTGTAAGTAAGAAAGTTATGTTAATTGGCAAAGCTACGAACACTATACCTTAGCTATAGGAGGCACTCAGCCGTATTTACCTCTTGGGTATCATTACTTGGTAAGGTAAGAATTTGTTTATACCTTGTTTTCAAACTTATTTCTTTAAAGATCATCATAGGAGGGCAGGAAAAGATAATTAATTTTTTTTTCTTATTTAGCAAATGGTTTTGCTAAAAACATCCATTTTATTTGTGAATGTGAACAGTGTAGTAATGGGATGGTTAAATGCTTTATATGATTAGGAACAAATATACATATCTTATTTTTGGAGATTTCAAGGCAGTGGCGGGTGTAATAAAAATAAAGAAAAACTTTTATTTCTTATTCTGAAATTTGGTGGGTACGCTAATTGGCCAAAAATAAAATTTTATTTATATTCGAAATTATCATTATTAGTAGGTGGCGGGTTTCGCCAAGGTATAAAGAAAGTCTCGCCTAATGAAGGAATGTCACATGTTAGTAACATACTACTCTATATGGCAATTATGTGTAATCTTTATTATTTTAAGGAAGTGTTTCTGATATAATGAATAAAATATGTGCACATGCATCAGTCCTTGTTTACTTGTCCATCGAACAAACAAAAACCTTTCTTACCTTGAGGAACTTATATTCGCACATATCTGCTCTATTACTACGCGCCTGTTGTGAGTAACAATTTTTCTTCAACCAGTCTAAAGTTACAACACCTACATGATCAGGCTCTTCAAACCATTGTAGATGAACACTGTTACCATCTGTTTTCAAACATATATGCAGATAAAATAATTATTTACTAGTAACAAAAAAAATGTATATATTATGCATCCATGTACAGTTATTTTAACAAGGTGATTTGCCTATTAGCGTATATTCTTTCTTATAAATTCCTTGTAGTTAGGCCGCTGATAAAACCTTACCTAATAGCTCATGTTCATTTAAAAATGTAATACTGTTGTATATGTAAACAAATAATAATGATGACACATAATTTGTGTCATGCTTAGTATAGTGTCAGGGGTCCTAAGTTGCAAGAATTCCCTTCCGGGAAATCTGGTTAAATGAGCTTTCTTAATACATCTATCTTTATATTGTTTTCAAATGGTCATGATGACATCAAATCATGACCATATATAGGTACATCATGACTATATATGAGTACTACATTACTTGTACCCACCTGGCTGAATTACAGCAGAACAAAGTGTTGGTTTTTCTGGAATAGACATAACATCTATCAGTTTTTGTCCACTATGAGCCTGGATACATTTATCGCACTGACAATTGCAGCGAAGCCAAATGCTATGGTACCTACACATGATGAAGAGCATAATATTGTTTGTGAGGGTATCACTATAAAGTGTCCAAAAGAATTAACAGTAGTTCAATGAATGAAGGAATAGTGTTGATATCATCAGGCCTAATTCTAGGGTTGTCCTTTTGAAAGTGGCCTTTCAAAAGTATTTTAGAATTTGGGGTTCTACTTGGTACACAAAAATATAATTTTGCCAAAATATTAACAATTCTAGATTTTGATTTGGGTAATTGATTACCATTATCACACCAATATAATCATTATTATTACAGTATCATCGTTATCATCATATAACAACATATTGCACCACATCATCTTCTATCCTCAGTAACTAATATTATCATCATCACATAATCATTGTCTTTGTGAAATTCTCCCTCCTCTTCTAAGCCTTAGTAATCATCATTACTCTCATCATCACTCCAATACCATCTCAACTTCTAGTGCACCCCCTCCCCCCTACTTGCTATAATTCATTATTTATAGTTCAACCTACTTGCTCAGTTCAGATTCATTCCATTGGATCAGGACTTGGCTGCCATCATGGTCAATTTCCAAGTCATTTTTCATGCCAATGGGTTTTGCAGACTGGAATTGGGAAGTAGATACTACTCATAAGTTGTACCGAAAAAAGTGCTAAAATTATATCTCATATTTTATAATACTGTATACGTTCAGTTTACCTAAAGTAGAATATTACCATTTCCAAAGATTTTGATGTTGATATGTTGACTATGTATTATAGACATGTTGTACATTACCATTATTACTTCAGGCAGTGTCAATATCAAATCAATGTTGCATATTTATTGGACCATGTAGTAGACCATGATTGAAAATAAATTTGTAGAAACTACATTTTATAAGCCCAAGACACAGAACTTGCGTCTAGAAAATGAAGATTACTTCTAGGCATAAAAAACATAAATTCCATACCTACTTTACAGTAACATAGGTGTACATTATACAAAGAAAATTAAAAGGCAGCATTACGAGACTAACTTAGATGTTATTTATTCAACATAAGCTTTTGCTGACAGTCAATGCCAGCTTCATCAGGTGTGTGAAGTAAAAAATTGAAAACAAAATAGAGCTTATGCATGCAATAGTCTCACAATTAAGCAATTAGTCTACATTGTAAACTTTACAATACTGTACCAGCAAATAAATCAATGAAATATTCATAACTAAAAAGATTTCCTATTTTTCTCCTCTCAACCACCATCTTATCTCAATAAAATTATTTGTTCCATTACAAAAAAATTTTTAAAAATTAAAAAAAAAAAATATTGCTATTTGTGCTTCTGATATATTACTCACTGTTTTAAGAAAGTTCTTTGGGCCATTCCATACAGAATTCTTGCGTAAAAAAGGTCTCCAATATGAAAGTTTTGGCAAACAAAGATTGAGCTGGCATGTTTGCCTGGGAAAAGGAGTATGCAGGTTCTTCAAAAGCCTTGCTGATGGTGTGAAATTTCGTATTACATTCATCTACAAAACAAATAAAAATACTTTATTAAAGATACACTTGCTAAAGACGATTGAAGTCCTGGGACAAAGGCTTGTTTTGGCATGCTTAGACAAGACCAAAACTAGCTAATTTTAAAATCAATAAAAAAAAATTAAATATTAATTTTAATATCTAAAAAATACTTTGAATATTAATTCAAATTAGAGCCCCTCCCCCTCCCCTTTTCAATAATTACATGGGAATTTGGGTTGGGGGTGGCCTTATTCCTATGGACCAAAAGATGGAGATTGTCCTAGTACATGATTAGTCAAATAGCAAATCCAGAATAAAACATTTTTAAGGATTGATCACTCAATAGGACAGTTCCCTAAGAGGTTTTCCTTTTTTTGCAAAAAATTGTAATAATTTATGATATGGAGAAATATAAATAAAATGTACAGTATTAATATAATTCTATTGTATGAGTGTTTTTTTATTGTTTTCTTATTGAGTGTTTAAAAGCTGTCGTCAAGATGATGACTGTAAGTAAAAAATTCCCAGGCAATGTTGATTCCCACAATTAACCAGTTCCTTCTATCTGTAACAATGGATCCAGGACTGTCTTTTACCATTATTATTTGGGTGAACATAGCAAGTTTGTACCTGTTTACTACAGATCTTAATCAATTCTAACACTAACTTGCTACTTCAATAAAATATTTTGGAAGAGATTGTGCAAATCTCTAGAAAATAGATGGGCAGAATCTAGGCCCTAAATGCTTTATAATACATTTGTTGTAAAGTATATTAAGACATAGAGTGGTCCAAGGGCCAAGGCCTCAATTTTCTGCAAAAAATTGGCGCAGGGAATTAGGTAATTTTTTTAATGTATGGATGAATTTCTATACAAAATTTCATTCACAAAAATAGAACATTTTATTAAAATTAAATACTAGAACTAGTAAGTATTAAATTCATTTTCATGTCTGTCCTTTGATATTTTTTCCTAGGGCCTTAACACAACAACAGAAGCTGGCAAAAAAATTAGCGAGCACAAAATGTCATATATCATCAAAATGGATCTAATAAATTGGCGGGAAAATATTAGGGGACGAGTAAACTCGTTGCCGCAATAGGACAGTACTTTTTATTGCCTCGTCTCCCGAGTGCGTGTTTTCTCATCCGCTTTTTGCATGGGTTGGTATATCATATGTTCAGAAGGTGCTCACACGCGTGTACTGCGGCAACATAAATAACACACCTAACATACATACCGATACCTTATTTGTATGACATCGTCTAGGTGTATCTTCCCCAAATAGCTGTTAAGTCGCTACAATTGTATATATATAATACCATGGGTAGGTATGTGAAGATGCGTGCGCGATCGCGTCTGTTTTTTCTGCCAGATTACTGTTTCGCATTTGCATCATGCTCCCTGGGGACATCCCCATAAATCTACATTCTGATTGGCTGTCGTTAGGGAAATCCCTTGGATACTGCTATGATGACGTAGTGGAAAAGCCACTATTCATCCTCCATTTTTTTTTTTTCTGGATCGGACAAAGATATCATCTTCGCTAGAAAGTTTTAAGATTTCGCATGTTTTGACGGAACAAATATCACTCTAAGGTCAAATCCTACGTTATTGAAAGATAAGTCTACATATTATTTATTATTTTGTCTTTAAAATCCTGAAGTTTCATCATATTTTATGGTTCAGAAAATAAATTGACAGACCCGGTCAAGGTCAAGTCCGGAGGCTATTGGCGTAAACGCGAGCCGAAAACCATGAAATCTGATGTATGTTCATGTAAAAAAGTCACGTTTTCGGTCACAAAATTCTAATCAATTACCTACATGTAATAAAAATGATGCGAATTCACGATTTCAAATGCTTGTAATTTCCTTATTAATTAAGATATCTAAATAATTTTGGTGTCACTGTATAGGATTTTTCAAGCTCTTTCCAGTGGTACTAATTGAATTGGTATTGGTTCACTTTGAATTTTTTCTTCACATACCTACCATGGGGTTTTTTACGGTGCCTCCCTCTGGGCGGTGCCTGAGCTTGGTAAGACAAGTATTTCTTAACCACCAAGTTATTCACCTCATCTCAGTCATATATTTACCTTAATCAGGCAAGAAAACATGTAGGCCTAGGCCATCATTATTCACGTAGGCCCTAGGCCTACGGCTACAGAAACAGAATGACCATGAAGAGAAGCTTTCCTTCTTAATAATAATAGCTAGGCCTATCGCTTACCTTCCTTAATGATGACCATAAACCATCTGTAGTAAACATTCTACTCTAATAAATAACAACGTGGGGCTCTAACTACTTGTTTCTTATTTACATTCAGTAGTTTGACTAAGGACTAGGCCTACCCGCAACCACCCGTATCTTATATTTTGTAAGTTTTGAGGTTTCATACTTACTACAATGCCTGCAGTTGTCTCTTTCTTTCCTCCCGGTGTCCCACAGTCTAGTCGCCGCTGAAAAACGTGAACTCATCTGTCACGCTACAGTGAGTTGGTATTTATCATTCGTCATCTGTCACGCTACAGTGAGTTGCTATTTATCATGCGTGTGAAGCAGGGTTGCCATTTGGCCTTTTTGACGTCCAGATTCCTCAAATCTGGCCGTATAAAAATTTGCCTGGCCGTAACTTTTGAAAAGTCCCTGGCCAAACTATATTTGTATTTTACATTTTTTTTCAATACAGGCCTAATATAACATAGAATGTTTTGGATGTGTTGTTTTTGTTAGCTTAAATTCTATATTTGATTCTAATCACAGTGGCGGATCCAGGGGGGTTGGGGGGTTCGTACCCCTCTGTGAAGAAACGTAACAAAATATTATGGGTCCTGGCTTACAAACTGCATGCTAACTATAGACGCGGATCCAGACCTTCGCCCACTTCGCCCAGGCGAAGGTCAGGGTGAGAATTCAAAATAAAATGTAGACCATTTTTTTCCAACAATCATACTTACTTTCCTTGACATTTATTTTGAACATTACCATTAGAAAAATGTTTAAAAATCCACACTATCCTATACCTTACACTTTTAAACTGATTGTACTGTAGGCCCTACCAGAGAGAGAGAGAGGTACATTCCCAATACATTATGGTCTTCCACTTCTATAGACTATAGCGCATGATACAGTGCACAACAAACGTTATGTAACCACATAATACGCAGGTCCAGTGGCGTAGGTATGGGCAGTGCAGTCAGTGCACAGCACTGGGGCCCGGGGCTATTGGGGGGGCTCGTTCAATAGGTATAATGATCTGAAAACTTATAAAAAAATCCTATTCAAACTTTAAAAGGACCCTTCAATAATATTAGGTTTTAGAGGCTATAGTTATTGATTATATTCATTACAATTTACCTATTACCTATTTCCCAAACGCTGCAAGTCAAAAAAAAACAAAACAACAACAACAACAACAACAATACAAGCCCTTGTATACGATGGAACAATATACTTTTTGAAATCACACTTCTAAAGCAATACAATATCGTCACGCACATTTGTGTTTGTGGTATTTTAAAGTTGGTTCAACTATTATTGTGTACGTTTTCAAACACTTCAGATTATCATAACTTCATGAATACATTTAGATTCACTTCACTGCAAGTAGGTCGATGACTGTTCTATTATTGAATGATACAGTACCGTAATTGTTATTATGGTGATGGAATAAACAATACCTGGATTTGCGCCAGGAGAATCAATTAGGGGGGCATATGTGTAATTTTGCCCAACTTGTCGTGAAAATGTACCGGTATACTGAATACTCAGTGCGTGTGAAAACACTTGCAAAAAATATTTGCAAGTTGTTCACCAGTGGGACTCGAACCCACGTTCTCCAGATCACTAGCCTGGCGTCATGCTTTTAGACCACCGAGCTTGCACCTGATGGCCAGGGTTGAATTCGAGCTAAAGTAAGCAGCGAGTACTATTGTTGCAAGTGTTTTCACATGTTCTGAGTATTCAGTACATTTTCACGACGGGTTGGACACAATTCCACCTATATGTTCTATTGATGTTGTCAATATTATAATATATCATAGATTAATGAAATGCTTAATAGGCCCTAAACGATAACATGACTTGACCATAGTTTGTTCTCAATATTCTTTAATTTTTTAAACAAAATATTTTTTAGATATTTCTGAGCGTTAATGCCGTACCGTATCTGTTTTAAAAAACCTCAGAATGTATAAGCATTCAGAGTTTCGCCTGAGTAGACCCCACTAGAGGCTCTGTCTCTATGTCCGATCAGGTGCATTTTTACCAATTTTACCTAGGGCCCGGCAGTTATCTATGCCATAGTTTCCAACCGTCACGCATCACTTCAAAGTGATATTGGATGAAACACATTTTGCAGAAACACATGTGAAATCATAAATGTGTCACGCATTTAGCACTTGCGTGATAACGAATTATCACAAAATCAGAGGAAAACGTATTTAAAATTAGAAGAAATTGGTTTTATTTAAAATATAAAAACGGTATACAGTAGCTTGAGTCATTAGAGAGCCTTCTTTATCTCGTTCGAGAATCAATTCACAGAGAAAATTTCTCCTTTCCGACCAAAACAACCCAGCCAACCACGCACTTGTAGAATCTAGTAGTCGCGAACAGTCTTGCGAGTTTATTGTTACAACCAACTGTTTAAAATGTGACGGGAACCCGAACTTCCGCAGCGGTTACGTAATAATACCGAATACACTCTCGTAGTTTCAGAAGATATTTGGTTGATATTTGTATGTCTGGCGTATAAGACGACTCCCTGTTTCATGGTCAGAATTCCTAATTTTTTTTGTGGTCCTGTATACTGCGTCTAGCTGGATAAATGGAGCCAAATGCAAGGGTAATCTTCCAAATAATACCATTTTATCAGTTTTTAAATCTTCCCCACCAAAATCGTATTTTCCCATATTTAAAATTGCTTTCATTGATACAACATTTAGTTGCTTCATTGCAGTACTAAGTTCGCGTGTTAAGCTGGTTTTCCACTAGGCGAATTTATTCGCGCGAATCAAAGCGTCGGCTCGCTTCCTGAGCTCTGATGGTTGCGCATTTTTTCGCTTCTCAAAACTCCGATAGGAATGTGAATGCGCATGTGCATAAGCCGACGCTTTGGATTCGCGTGAATAAATTCGCCTAGTAGAAAACCATATTTACGGACGATCCGCACATAAGACGAACATCCGAACATAAGACGAACATGAATATCAAAATCTAAAATCTGAATGTCGGGCGTATAAGACGATCCCCTTTTTTTCGATCGTAATTTGCTATTTTAAGCCTCGTCTATACGTGAGTATAGGCCTATACGGTATTTTGTTTTAAAACCCTAGGTCACCTGAGCGTTAAAGGATTCCTCATACAGTGGCGGATTCAAGGGAGAAATTTTCCATGGGGGGACACCCGGACCCCCTTTCATTTTGGGTATTTTTTGAAACGTTTTGAACCCCCTCTTCCAAATCATGGATCCGCCCCTGAATCATGTACCTTTGTTTGCACTAAACACTTAATCTATGTTCCCCCCTTTAGCTGATGTAAGGTAAGTGAGTTTATTTAAAAGATAACAATTACATTTAATAATTTAAATTGTTGGATGAAATACATATTTTTTAATGACGTTTATCCTCGTTTAAGACAGTTCAATGCAAGTTTGTACCATATGTGTGTGTCTTTGTATATGTTCCATGCTAGTGGAAGTTCTATCTCTTTTGAATATAAATTAAATACTGTACTTAATTAATTTATTATTGCCCACTTGAATTGTATAGCCCTAGGTGCTGCAGTGTTCTTTATGTAGAGCGCCATATATAAATGCTCGATGTGCACATCCGGGTCCGATGGCACCTCCAATTTCAAGCAAGTGTTGCAGAGACTCTGGAGTTAGGTTGCATATGGGAATGAAAAAGATAATTCTGATAGCAACATTGATTTATTGCCTTAAGTACTGCGACAATAACATTCAGAGGCGAATTTAGAAAGTTTAGATAAAAAGTATTTATTAAAGTTTTCATAGGTTTGTTTTAACGCCAGTTTGTGTTACGTAACTATGTAACTTAATTCATTCTAATATAAAGAGAGAAACGGGTTTGCCAATAACAGGACCTTAACATTTTTGCTATAGATCGACTACAATGTACGTTAATATGTAATACATTTAAATAAATTTAGATCAATCTTAATGATGTGATTTTAAATAGCAGAAG